GACACTTTCCTGGAACGTTGAGTACTTGGTGTTACTTAGTCAAGCAGGAAGATGAAATGTACATTACCTGAAATTACCTGCCGAATCAAAATTTTCCTCTTGCCTTTATCTCTTACCACCATATCTTTTTGTCCACTTTACAGGCGGCAGCGAAGACTCTTGCATCATCCGTGGCGCCAGTGAAAGCCCTCCACCTTTGGAGCCTAACTCTCTATCACCACCTTCCACCTCTAGTCATACCCCCTTGGCCGGTCCTCCAGAACAATTGAGCTTCATAACTCCTAATTGTTTAACCAGTAGCATCGAGGAGTCTGCACCTACCTGTGAAACCGCGACAGAAGTGACACCTTTATTTGTCTCCAATACCTTGTCTTCCTCGTCTTCTGAATGTCCCTCCGCCTCTCTTAATTACAACTCGTTGGGCTCACCCAAAAATCACTTTCCAGAAACTCGACATTCGTTTGGTGCCGATTCTTCTAATCTTTCGCCTTCTAACCTACCACTAACAAGAGATATCAGAACTATGACTTCGAGCAACCAAGAGGGTAATGCAGTCTTGAGATACTATCAGCTACAACAAATGCCCCACTTACGCCTCCCACCTCCAGGCCCACGAAAGAAAACGACTAACATTCCCCAGCTGCCCGGTCTGCTTTCCACCAGTCGTAATAAGTCCGCTAGCTTGGCCTCTCGGCTATCCTACGACTTCTCCAGCCATGACAGAAACACCATCCTGCAGCAGGGTATTCGTGTTCATCAGCTGAGCCCATCGAAGCCTGTAAGTCAAAGCTTTGTTTAGAAGTTTCGGTAGGAAAAACGTGTGTTATGGAGACTTCTTATGAAAGTACATAATGGAGAGATTCGTTGGTTGATCTCACCGGAAAAAGATTGCTGATTTCCGTTGTTCTAATTCCGTTTTGCTTTAATGGGAATTTAAAGTTGTCCCAGTCCACTAGGCATCTTCCCTCGATTCAGGTGAAACTGGACTGAGCTTTCGTCCGTCATGCCATTTGTCAGGTCTTCAAAGCTGGAACTAATTCTCGCAAAAGCTTCAAGTTAATATGAAGTCAAGAAGACTATCCGGCTCTATCCTACATTCTATATATACTCACAAATGAAAACTAAGATATATAGATATAGATAGATGATGAATAATTTGGTTAGTTCTCTTTATGTACCAACTTGACTGTGTCTCTGCGTTCGTTAACGTCTCTACTCAGTACTGTTTTTAACTGAGCCTAATTACAAAAGCTTACTTTCATTTCCTGGCCGCCAAGGCCAAATTGCCTTGACGTCTCAATCTTCCCGTGGATCTCGCGACAAGTAGTTATGGCACTAGCCTGATTGCTATGGTTTTGTTACTTTCTAAGGGAGTGATTTCTTTCTCACTAGACCAGTATGTCATTATTATCTTTTTACAACCTGGTATGTCATTTAAGAAGACTACGTCTAGAGTTCATGAATCTAAAAGTCTATAGCCGACCATATTTTGCATTTTGTGTTTCCACGCTTCACCACAGAATCAGGTTATCCAGCATATTTTCTTCTAGATACAATATTTACGGCGACTTGTTCGGCAGTGCCTTTCCCGGATTTCCTACAATTCGAGTCTTTACTTTGATTATTCATTGCTCTAAATCTAATTACCTGGAATAGAACCTCTACAGTTGAATGCATAAGCTCATCGTTGCTGTTGAACTTCATTTGAAAGTTCATTCGTACTATCCTTGATCATTATATTAGCTACAGATTTCTGCTTGATAATGCATTCTTCGTGCACTGCAAGGCTTCTGGATTCTTATTCATTTTACGCAGTGTACGCGAATTTCCAGGCCAAAGTTAAAATTTTTTAATGAAATTAATTTGATGTTTTACCCAGCGCCTGCTTTTGTTCGGCCTTTGTAAAACCTAGGACTCCAGTTTCTAAATACATAATCATTCTAGCTCTTGGCTTTTCCAATTTTGCCGGTGTTTTTAAAATACAGGAAGCTTTACAAAGATCGAAATAAATGATATTTCATGACTGCAATATATGTCAAAAACTGTTGATGGGATTATGTTACAATGTTAAAACTTCCTCACTTCTGTTAGTTTTCAAATACAGAATATATTTCAGCATTGTAATGCTAGTGGATAGTATCCGTTATGTTTACAAAAACTTGAAAAATAATGATATTTCCGTTTTTTTCGATAGCATTGCTCAGAATTGATGGCCTGCCTATCCTTCAATACTCCATAGTCTACTACTTATTTATTATTATCCGTTCCTCTTATAAAAATCTAATATCTAATTTGAGAGTAAAATAAATATTAGAGCTCTCTATAAAATGAACAGGAAGTTTAGTCATATTCAACATCATTTATATTAAATCATTTAGATAAGGCGTTTTTTTCATGTTAGCATAATTGGTATTGTAATTATTCTACACCTGCGTCTCCTGGACTCCTTAATAGGGGGTCCTAGTAAGTTATGTGACATTACATTATGATAGATATGCTTGCACCCAATCACCAGAACTTGTGAGGTTGTATTTGCTAGATTTGTTAAGAAACATAAAATAGATGAAGGACAATGCTGTAAGCAACAAATTGACAAATCGGTAATTGATCTCTTCAATTGGCTAATGACTTGCTAGTGGTCCTAGTTTAAGGTTTGTAGATCTAATGTGCCCAGCAAAACATACAAATTAACATAATTGGACTAACCTTGATTTCTCAATTTGGTCGTGTTGTCAGAGTGACTTAGTTGGACGCATCTTGTCCAAAATCCTCTTCTATAGTAGCTATCATAATTCCTAGCATCGGACCATGAACTTGGTACATTCCGACACGTTTCGTCGGCATCGTCTATGAGTTGCGATTCTCACCATCAAGCTACAACTCGTCAAAGGGAAAACGGATTGCACAACCGTTTCTGCAGAAAGCTGGCCAAGGGATTGACCTTACATGTCTTTTTTGAGGAGTTGTGCTGAGAATGGTAAGACTGACTGATGATGCCGGCGAAACGTCTGAGATGTACCAAGTCTACGGTACGATACTGGGAATTACGATAACTAATATAGCAGAGGACATTGGACAAACTGCGTCCAACTAAATCCGCTTGACAACACGACCAATTTGAAGAAACGAAGTCAGTCTATCGAAAGGAGACCGCGACTATACCAAAGGCCACACCATCTTGGTCTTCATTTTTTTGGTTAAACATACAACTTAAAAGCTATTTTAATCGAAGGTATGAAGACCAAGAAGGTGTGGATTTTGTGTGGTCGCAGTCTCCTTTCGTTGTATAGAAGTTGTTTGACCTTGTTTTCGCAACTTGGTCATGTAGTAGGAAGACTTAAAGGAACACACCTAGTCCGGAGTCCATAGTATGCATCATCATTTCCAGAGTAGGACTGTGGACGTGGTACATTCCCAGATAGGACGACTTAGAGGAACACATCTAGTCCGGAGTCCATTGTCTGCATGATCATTTCCAAAGTTGAATCGTGGACTTGGTACATTGCCAAACGTTTCGCCGGCATCATAGTCGGCATCGTCAGTGAGTATCGCCATTCTTAGCACAACACAACAACTCGTCAAAGAGACAAGTGAAG